GCCAGCAGCTGTAAGTGAGAAAAGAACAAAAGAGGTTTTACTCACGTTAAGAGTCAAAAGATTATTGGCGAGCCAAGTCATTACAAAAGAGATAGCCTTCTCAGCATTCAAACGCGCCTCATCCCAGGTTTTGCCTTCTATGATAAGAGCTGTATCATCAGCATAAGTAACAATGGTACAATGGGGTATATTAAGCTGACACAGTTGATTTATATAGGCCAAGAACAAAGTGGGTCCGAGGACACTTCCCTGTGGGACGCCATATTAATTAATTAAAACTTGATTAGGTATCATATATGGCTTATTCTCTTGCCGTGGGTGCCGGCAGAATAGAATAGCACCATCCCCTTTCTTCCCGTGGGGGTCGTAAGAGGCGACCGAGGGATAAGCCCGACCCAAATAGCCAGGGCCAACCGTATGGTGGCGGTTAATCCACCACAAAAGCATTCCCAAGGAGGGTTGACGTCTGGTAGGCGGCCGGTCGCAAAATTAAGCCAAATCCTTTTGCAACACGATTTTGTGTTCAACAAAACATGTTGCGCCGACCCCAAGTAATTGGGATAAGGACAGGAACATGATGATGATATTCTTTTTTTTAATTCCAGGCTGATGTAATAAGAGTACGAGGGGCGGCCACTAAGCCTCAAATTTTATGGGTGGTCGGCGGCCCTGGCAGCAATAAGGCCACATTGTGCCAACGAGCTGTAGCTCAGAGACATGGCTGGACGCATTTCAGGTAAGCTTTTTTTTTTATCGGTTTTTCAAAAAAGACCTAAGAGTAGATAGGTAATGAGTCGATAGGTAAGTGTCCGCCTTGCAGAGGTTCAAAGAAAAAAATCTAGATTCTGTAAATTTCAAGCTTCAAGGCCACAAAACCTCAAATCCTTTGAGTGGTGGGCGGCCCTGGCAGCAATAAGGCCACATTATGCCAACGAGCTGTATCGCAGAGACATGGCTGGACACATTTCAGGTAAGTTTTTTTTATCAGTTTTCCAAAAAAGACCAAAGAGTAGATAGATATCACGTGTGGTACCTAACTTATAACAGGTCACTGTTTAAATGGTCCAAAAAACTAGATTCTGGACAGCTTAAGATACTAAGCCACGAAACCTGGAGCCGTTTGGGTATATAAGGCCACATTGTATCGCAGAGATATGGCTGGACACATTTCAGGTATGATCTCTCTCTTTTCGTGTGGTATAAGGATTTTAAAAACGTTCGTACCTTGTTATTGCTTTATAACTCACTCGTGAGATCCCATCTTGAATACGCTTCAGCTGTGTGGAACCCCCAATACTCAGTTCACATTGATACCATAGAACAAATACAAAGTAAGTTTATGAAGCGAATTAAATTTAAATACCCTGGTTGTAATCTTGATAGCATAGTCTCTAGAGGATCGCCGAGAACAAAGAGATCAATTGTTTCTATACAAAATAGTTAATAATAAAGTCTACTCTTCTAATTTGTTAAGCAAAATATCTTTAATGCTCAAGAGTGAATAGTCGCTCTAAACAATATCGCTGTATTTGCTCCTCAATTTTGCAAAACCAATTATGCACAGAACCGTTTTCTTGTAAGGTCATGCAGAAAATATAACGCGTCTTATAGTCATATCGATATATTCTACGAGAAATACCACAAATACTCTATGGCAATCAAAAACAAGTTAAACGATATATTAAGTAGTTTAACAAATAAGCTAAAATATTGTTAGAAAATTAGATTTAATCAATCATTCATTCTTTAGTTTTTGTCTCAGCATGTTTTGTATTTCAAAATCATAATTTAATTTAAGTTTTCTAAATTTCTTACATTAGTTGTCAACATCGACGATTTTGTATTAGTTAAGTAGTGGAAACTTTGCTGGCAAATGTATTACCTAAGTTTGTTTATTATCACACATGTTTAATAATGCTGTTTGTTTCTCAAATGCTACCTAATGATAAAAAAAACCGAGTTGTCCAACGGCCCGATCAAACCTGGCGTTAGCTTTTTCCGTCGCTACAAGTGGTAGGCCAAATCAAATGCAATCGTACCAAACAAAAAGCTATAATTGTATTTTGGAACAGTTTGTCAAAAAAGGCGAAAGAGTAGGTATATGATGCTTTGCTTTATCTCCTTTGGTAGCTTACCAGTCATCCTAGGTGAACCGTTATTAGGTAGAGCAACAGTATACCGATACCGAAACCACTCAGGAATATACAACAACGGACAGGACTACCATTTGATTACTCCGACTGATGGTCTGTCTACAGGGTCCCGGCTCTTTTATTTTTTGCCATTGTAATATCAGTGAAACTAAAATGGCAGTCTATTACTACCACTGTGATTTTCAAAACTTCAAACTCTTAGCTGATTATAAAACTACCAAAATCATCCAACTGACATGATATCGACATACAACGGAAACGATTTCCTAGTCGCTTTCTATCTCTTGACCGCAACTACTATTAGTGTACCTAAATAGCCTGTAATTTGCCTTTGAAGACGTCACGACACATTTAACCGTGACCTTTTGAAGTCTATTGCGACATTTCGTGGACGAGTCTGCAAAATTACTCACTTACCTGCAAAAATACAAAGAAATATGCTTGGATAATTCATTTTATCTACTTTTAAAATAGTCAAGACTGAAAAAAGTAGACCAACCTATACAAAAAATAGTAAATATGTCTTATGTCCTTTTTCAATGTCTATAAAAAAGCTAAAAATGATAATGCCAATATCACTTAGTGGTTTCATTCAAACAGTCACAGATCTATTTCATGAAATAGTATTTTTTGCCTACCCTGCAAGGGATATAGGCATTAAATACGTATGTAGGTATGTATTTTCTTTAGCTTGACGTCTTTTCACAGTTACCGCCAGCCGTTTTTCGAGAAGACTTTTAGGATTATCGTCATCATCACCATACATAAGCCTACATCCACCCACTGTAGGGTACTGGGCATCTTCTTTATTCCACCAAACCTCGCGGTTCTGTGGAACTCAGGGTGACATATTAAATATTCTTCCTAGCGGCCCGTTAGCGGTTTCACCCACTGCAACCCATTTTCCCACAAGAAAAGTCATGTTCCCTTTTGAATCACTCTATTAAACCCGTTGAGTGGTTTAGGAGGAGTTAGCGAATTCCACGACAGACAGACAGGCAGAGAAACGCAAAAAGCCACTTCATTATAAACTATGTATGTAATAATTGTGCATTTCTTCCATTCCAGTCTAGGGCAGCGTCTCCGCGCTTTAGCTGACGCGGGCGGAGGGCCAGCGTCAGACGGGGCTCTCGCGAGGACAGCTGTCAGCGGAGGCGAACTAGTTTCGAAAGATCTGGCCACGAAGCTTGTCAGGACAGCTGTCAATGATGCGGCAAGAAGCGGGCATGGATTGGTGCTCGATGGATATCCAAGAGATCTGGAGCAATTAGAACAATTTGAGAAAGAAGTAAGTATTTTTAAGAAGTTGAGGGTCTTCTGGCAGCATAAGACGGGGTGCTAGCAAACACCGTAACAGTGGAGGCGAAGTAGCTTCGAAAGATCTGGCCACTAAGCTTGTCTGAACAGCAGTTAATGATGCGGCAAGAAGCGGGCATGGGCTGGTGCTCGATGGGTACCCAAGGGATCTGGAGCAATTAGAACAATTTGAGAAAGAAGTAAGTATCTTTAAGAAGTTGAGGGTCCTTTGACAGCATAAGACGGGGTTCTCGCGAGGACAGCTGTTAGTAGAGGCGAACTAGCTCCGAAAGATCTGGCCACTAAGCTTGTCAGAACAACAGTCAATGATGCGGCTAGAAGCGGGCATGGATTGGTGCTCGATGGGTATCCAAGAGATCTGGAGCAATTGGAACAATTTGAGAAAGAAGTAAGTATCTTTAAGACGTTGAGGGCCTTACCACAAAAAAGATAGACCAGCGTTCAACGCGTGTCTAGGGTTTTTTTTTGTATGAAGTTTTATTTTAAACATGCGTTCGACTCGCGTCTAACTTTTTTGTGGTAATACCATGAGGGTTTTCTGGCAGCATAAGACGGATTGCTAGCGAGGACAGCTGTCAGTGGAGGCGAACTATCCCCAAAGTCCTGCTGGCTACTAAACTCATCGGAACAGCTAATGAATGATACGACTCTAACAAATGATAATCTGAATGATACCGCAAAGCATGGGAATGGGTTGGCATCCCAGGCATCAGTAGTAATAGTTTGAAAAAGAAGTATTAGACATTGGCATTTTACAAAGGTGAACCTATCCTAAATACCTGGCCAAAAAGCTCATCAGGAAATCTGTCGATGCCGCTGCGAGGAGTGGTTACAGATTAGTGATTGGTGAGTATGAAATGGATAGATTAAGCGTTACGTTCCCATTTTCCTAAACAAAAGAATTGATACCCATTTTCCTAAACAAAAGAATTGATAAGCTCAATTGCATCATACCATTGGTATAGCCTGCGTTAATCTTGCTTTTAAAAGTATTTGTAAAATATCCAAAATCAATTTGAAAAAGAGTTAAAATATATGCAGAAGAGGTACAAGTTTTGCGTTTTATTGCCCTCTCAGGCAAAGCCACCAACTCGATCAAAAAGGGAACCAAGTGGTTTCACTGCATATAAAAGCTTTGGGATCTTCAGGAGGGAGAGAAGATCAAGAAACAGAGATCCGGATGTCTTCCAAAATCACTACGATTAGGTATTAGTGCTGGGTAGATGTGAACGTGATTTATGCTAGATTTGTGTTTTGTTCTTCACAATCTCACTCATAATAAATCACTATTTGAAGAAAATCACGGGAATACAAAGAAAATCACGGGAATACACAAAATCTTGCCTGATACTTGAATCCGGGACCATCTGCCTACATTGAAGGCCGGATACAACTATCACTAAATAATGTGAGTCGTTGAACGAAATTCATCATCGATCATGCATTGATAATGCTTACCTTCCTTCATACCTACTTGTTATTTAATTAAGAAAAGTCTCACAAGTAAAATTAAGAAATAGAAAAATGTCATACATCGACCGGGGATCGAACCCGGGCCGCATGGGTAAACGCCCCACCGCTCTGCCACTGAGCTATCGACCACCGGTTGATGGATGCCAAATCTTCTATCTCTTGATGCTCGTCTACAAGCGACGTCTCAAAGAAAAGTCTGTACAAATAGTATGTTTTGTCTCTTCCAGTTCTCCATCCAGCCGCGAATGGTGCTCCTAGACTGCTCGAAGCTGCAACTCGGTCGCGGCAGACGGGATGACTCAGTAGCAGCGTTCAGGAGAAGACTTGAGGTCTTCAGAGAACTCAGCCTGCCCATGCTCAAGACCATTGACCAGCAGCATCGACTAGTCATTGTAAGTGGCTTGTTTTGCTTTATAAGGTTGCATATTTTTTGCCACTTTGCTGGCATATATTTGTGTCATATGCCAAACTCTAAAACTACTAGGTACTTACTACTTTTTAGGGTTTCGTAGTCTACTAGAAACCCTTATAGTTTCGTCATGTCTGTCTGTCTGTCTGTCTGTCTGTCTGTCTGTCTGTCTGTCTGTCTGTCTGTCTGTCTGTCTGTCTGTATGCCGCGCCCTCATATCTTCGTCAGTTTTAGAGCTATCGACATGAAATTTGGTGAAAAAATAGATCGTGTTGACCCAAATAAAGAAATGTTAAGAAAAAAAGATTATAAATGTTTTTTGGACCCCCTCCCATACAAGTGAAAGGGGGGCAAAAATTTTTTTTTCTTGTGCAATATTGAGTAGGGTATCGTTGAATAGGTCTTTTAAAACTAAGGTGAGGTTTCTTTGAAACAAAGTCACTAAAATGTTTCTGTCACGAGATATTTGCTTTTAAAAAGGGCGTTTTTGACCCATAATTTGTTCCAGCTGTAACTTCTAAAGTATAAACGCTAAAAATTTGAAATAAATATGGAATATAGCTTACAATCTGAAGTTACAATGAAAACTATAACGGATATTGTACCTTTAAAGGTTTCAGAAAAAAATGAGTTTTTCTATTTGCGGTTGGTCATCATACTGCTGCTAACAAACCAGCAACAAATTAAGTTTGTAATGCTGAAAAACCTGATATTTAAACGTTGACTACGAAACCCTATTTGTGGGCGTGTCTGACACGCTCTTGGCCGGTTTTTATTTTTACGTATCCTGTTCAGTGCCCCACTGCAGGGCAAAAGCTCTCGCCCCCCAGTGGCCTATGCAACGAAGCCATTATTATGCCATAATTAAACCGGCTACGCAATGTACATCGAATTTCGCTTGTAGAATTGTAGCCTATAGTTTCGAAAAATCTGGCACTGGTATTACTTACTACAGCTAAAACATTGAGCGCGAAATGAAGCACATTTTTAGCGTCATCGTTCCTTGAAGCAAATTTGAAGACTATGTTAATAAGGTAGCAGTGGAGAATGGTAACTTTTTAACGAAGGTAAGCCAAAGGCAAAAGTTGTAAATGAGAGTAGATTCATATGAGAGAGGGTATGGATGTGTATATAGGGTTACATTAAATTAGGTACAAATCTCTTGGGGGTGTGATCTACTCACAAAACTGAACAACTTTTGTTTGAAACTTTTCTTCGAAATATGAATAATAATTTTGGGCCTCCCATACAAAAATGATGAAAAAGTGTGTCACTTAGTATGGGAGGTCCAAATGTTTTTTTCATATTTTGAAGAAATGTTTCAAACAAAAGTTGTTCAGTTTTGTGAGTAGATTACCCCCTCAAGAGATTTGTACTTAATTAAATGTAACCGTATATTTCTGAAAGATATAGCATGATGATATCTGTAGCATGTGAGCAGTGAGCTATATCTTCCAAATGTTATACCTATATCATCATCTTCCTGCCCTTATCCCAATTACTTGGGGTCGGCGCAACACGTTTTGTTGAACACAAAATCGTGTTGCAAAGGATTTGGCTTAATTTTACGACCGGCCGCCTACCAGACGTCAACCATCCTTGGGAATGCTTTTGTGGTGGATTAACCGCCACCATACGGTTGGCCTTGGCTGTTTGGGTCCGGTTTATCCCTCGGTCGCCTCTTACGACCCCCGCGGGAAGAGAGGGGGTGGTGCTATTCTACTCTGCCGGCACCACACGGCTTAATGTTTTACCTATATATCTGAAAGATATCTATAGCATGTGTGAACCCTTCGCCACTGTAAAAAGGTAGCCAATAAAAGCGATCCATTCTAAATAATATCTTTGTAAACATCCTGATATTCTCGAAGTTTTGTTGGCGGACAGTCGAGTTCAAAAACGAAACAGCTTTCGAAATAGACTTATTGAGCTTTTCACCCTGTTTAGGTGGACGGCGACACGGATTCCCCAGAAGTGCAAGAAGAATTCACTCGCGTTCTTCTAGAAGAGATGGAGAAAGCAGAAGCGATAGCAGCCATGCCAGAACAGAGGCACGAAGAAGGTATGTAGCGAGGTGCGTTCTACGTACCAGTCTTTAAAGTAGGTTTGCTTGTCGTGTTGGTCATAGATTTTATTGTGGTTGGTTTTAATGCACTACATACATAAATACATACATATATATATATCACGCATATATCCCTTGCGGGGTAGACAAAGCGCAAGCGGTTCTAAAACAGCCATTTACACCCTCTGACAAAAGTTTGAGAGAGTCATTCAGAAGACTGTGTAATTATTTGTGTATCACCATAGTGACAGGTTGTTAGCCTGTCGCCTCAAATCTTGCAATACACATCTACCGTCAAATCCATTAGTCGCTTCTTACGGCACCCACAGGAAATATTGGGTGATGTTAAGCCGGCACCAAACGGCACTTTATTGCACTCACAGTATTAAATAAAAATAAATATCTGGGCAATTCGCACAGCGCCATTTAGCCCCAAACTAAGCTAAGCTTTAACTATTGGAACATGACAGCTCGTACTAATACTTGTGTACCTACTTTTTTCAGAATCAGGAGCAATACAACAATTCACGCACGCAATGTCGAGAATGGGCAACGGGTTTGCCAACGGAGCTGTCCGCAACGGCACCGCCAACGGAGTCTTGCCCAACGGAAACATGGGCAACGGATTTATCAGCATGGGCAATAATAAAGTAAGTACATCTGAATTGTAAGTACATCTACTAAGTGACGATGGTGATGATGACATCTGACAGGAAATAAGTATTCCAACGGAGCTGTCCGCAACGGAGCTGTCCGCAACGGCACCGCCAACGGAGTCTTGCCCAACGGAAACATGGGCAACGGATTTATCAGCATGGGCAATAAAAAAGTAAGTAGGTACATCTGAATTGTAAGTACATCTACTAAGTGACGATGGTGATGATGACATCTGACAGGAAATAAGTATTCCAACGGAGCTGTCCGCAACGCAACCGCCAACGGAGTCTTGCCCAACGGAAACATGGGCAACGGTATTATTAGCATGGGAAATAATAAAGTAAGTACATCTGAATTGTAAGTACATCTACTAAGTGATGATGGTGATGATGACATCTGACGGGAAATAAGTATTCCAACGGAGCTGTCCGCAACGGAACCGCCAACGGAGTCTTGCCCAACGGAAACATGGGCAACGGATTTATCAGCATGGGCAATAATAAAGTAAGTGCATTTGACGGAAAATAAGCTATTTGTAACGATACCGCCAACGGAGTCTTGCCCAACGGAAACATGGGCAACGGATTTATCAGCATGGGCAATAATAAAGTAAGTACATTTAACGAGAAATAAGTGTTTTGAGCTGCCCGTTCCGCCGACTGAGTCTTGCCTAACGGAAACATGGGCAACGGATTTATTAGCATGGGCAATAATAAAGTAAGTACATTTAACCAGAAATATATGTTCTAACTGAGCTATTTGTAACGGAACCACCAACGGAGTGTTGACTAACGGAAATATGGACAATGTATTTATTGGCTGGCATGGGTTTTATGACAAGGGGACCAATTGGTCAAACCAGATTATCGGACATATTGAAGTTGTATGTTTCGATCGACGGAAACATTGATACCTCGTTTTTGGACTGTATGAAAGTATGTGGAGCGCACGCGCGCCGCCACATATGAATCCTACCGTCTGCGCCAGAAGGACGTTTAAAAGCATTTATGTATTCTATTTCTAAGCCATATGGGTTAGTTAAGAAAGTCCTTGTCGATGATTTCAAGTACTAACCACCAGCTTTTCCCCAGGTAAATCCGATGACCAAGATTCCCACGGTATCCGCGCTGACGCATGACGACGGGCGACGTCTCTACGACCAGGGCAACGACCTCGCACTCAATACACACATGTAAATATTGTACACATAGTACTTATAGTAGAACACTTGGTCGTTCGTCGACTTTAGAAAGCGTAACGAAAACCAAGGCTTACTTTCCAGCTGAAGATGCATATCCATTTCTTAAATTGTCTCCTAGTTAAATAACGTCATTTTTCTAGAAAGTTTACCAAAATGCCCTTTCTTAGGAATGCTTTCTGGGAAAATTAGGTACTTATAAAACCAGAAGATAGTACACACGGTTTTAATATAAAGGTGCTCTTCATTATTGTTAAAGGTACCTTTAAATAATATTTAATAAACATAATTTAAATAATACCTACGTAGGTAACATTTTGAAAAATTTCTTATATATTTTTATTGAAAATTTTATACGAGCACTCATTTTTAAAAGCTTTTATTTAACTTGCAGTGTATGTAAGTATGTAAGTAAGTAAGTAAATATGTTTGTTCGGGGCAAATCTTGCAACTCAATTTAGAAGCAGATATCTTCAACCGATTGAGCTGAAATTTTGTATACACGTTTAGTTTGGATGACAATGCATGATTAGTTATATGTCTAAATATATCATGGCGGAATATCCAAGATGGCCGACAAGTAATTTTTGACGCACTCCTACAATATGGGTGTCAAATGAAAGGTCTTGCTGAGTACAATTCAGAAAATAATATGGCGGACATCTAAAGATGGCCTTTTAAGATAATTTACAATATGAGGGTCAGATGAAAGGTATTGCTGAGAATTACCTATTCAAATTATAAGTTGACGTCACTCTAAATTAACTATGGTGGACTTCTTAAGATGGCAGAATATCATT